TTAATTTATAATAGTTTTTTTCGTTAAATTTTATTGGCATTTTTTTTGTTGTTCCTGTGTACAGTAATGTTATTTTAACCCAGTAGCCTCCAATTCAATCTCTATTGCCAAAGGTTACTGTTGTCGAATGTTCTTTGTTAATGAATGAATAAGTTTATAATGAATAATGTTGTATATTGAATTGTAATTTTAAATGATTTTGTAATGAGTAATTTTTATAATGATTAATTTTATATATAGATTTGTGTATTTGAATGTAAGTCTTTTTAAGCAATTTTGTAATGAATTTATTTTGTTGTATGTCTGATTGAATAAATATATACCTGAAATATGTTTCCATTGAGTTTCCAAAATCCTCAAAGCACTGCTTTTACACCACTTTATTCTCAGTTTAATGTTACTTTTTTACATAATCGGCGTCTGGCCGTAAACAATAAGATGTTTTCTAGCCAATGTTGCTTGGCAGGCCGCACACATAGGGTTTTTAATTCATTTTCGCGGGCCGCACTTTTCCCACCTGTTGTATATGTATACACGAATAAAACATTTTGTATTCGACTGTCTAGAAGCGTTTTTGCATCATATAATAAACAAGATCAAAAACAAGTTTCATGCTTTCTTCCAGAAGTGCACGATTTTTCTCCTTATCCGCTCTGCTTTTCGCAATGACAGCGACATTTAAGCGTAGGGCCTTACGCCTACCTAGCTATTCCGTTTCTCGCATGAGTCAAAATCAGATTTTCGCATTTCCTAAAGTTTTAGTAAGCCTATGTTGGAATTGGAAGTGGTAGCCGAATAACACTCCGTCCCTTGTTACTCAGAGAAGTTATTTCATGACTCATAACATTTTATGCCTGGCTACTATAATAAGCTAGGCCTAGGCCTACAGGAAAATCCGACACCACCAAGCCCCGATGTTTTTTAATACCGACCCCAAAATGAGACGCATTCTATCGCAACTTGCTGTCTGCAACAGTCACAAAAATGGCTGTTAAAGATACATATTTATTTTTTAAACTTAATGTAAAATCTGGAAAAAACGAAGATCGTACTAGAAATCAAAAAATTTCCTACGCGTTTTTCACGTACGTGTAGTGAGCGAGATTTGCTTGTCGTCCACACTGTTAGCGAATTGCAACCGGTGTATGACGTCATAAATGAAGATGTATACGTCACATTAACCGTATGCGTTCGCATGCGAAACCTCCCTATTTTAAAGTACTTACCTCACCAGAAATAACTGCTTGACTAAGTTGCATTGGCGTGACGTAATGACGAATATTTTTTGGAAGTATATTTGCACCCTACAAATAAATAAAAATGTGATTTTCAAAATAAAGATATACAATTCAAACAAAACCGTCATATTGACAGCCACGTCAAAGGCCTAAATAACACAAATGCTTAATACATTCCGTCCACCGATATTCTACACATTATTGCCTGCGTATTATTGTGAATATTTTTAATCATCCAGGTATAGTCTGCAAGCAGTTAGTGTTAGTGCGCCCTACTAACACTACTGCTACATACTATCCACATTATAGCTTATTACGCCTAGTTTAAGTTCTTGTTTTTATATTGTTGATGTTGTGTCTGGTGTTTCGTGTGAAATTTTATTATAAACTGCCAATTTATTTATTTATTTGTATATGGACGCCATTGGAAATAAGTTTCTTAACTTTACGGGTTATCCATGGCATCATTTTTTTTTTATTCCTTTAATCATCGTGTCTTTTTAATTAAATTTTATTGTATTGTTTTTATGATGATGTAAATTGACATTTTTTATGTGAGATTCTGAATAAAACAAAACAAATAAATAATATTAGGCCTAGGAGGAATAATGATAAATAGTATACATAAATGGTGATAACATTTTCGCGTTCACTTGTACTTTACATTACATTGGTATCAGATTAACTAACCGTAATTCGGTCACTGTTTCTGGCAACACAGTGTTCATCGGTGGCGTCACCATCTAGAAATCCTATCTTCTTTCCACTTATATTGGTCGGGTCGAACGAATTTGGGTTGCTAGATTTTACATAAAATATTCCATTGAACCCTTTACGGAACGCATCAGTAAATTGGAATGTACGACTTCGTTCGTATGTTCCAAACCAACCTACAAAATGCAAAATTGATATCATTATAATTCAATTATAATTAATGACTATAATAATAACATTAATAATAATGATATTATTATTATTATTATTATTATTATTATTATTATTATTATTATTATTATTATTATTTTAATTACGAAGGTACATCGTGCAGAGGACCTAATGATCCATAACCGCAGGGTAATAGGAAATGTACGGTACGTACCAGTACACCGGGGTAAACACTACTCGTCTCGAAAGATGGACCCGGTAGTAGTTGATCACTAAGTATGAACTCATTAGAATAAGAGAATATAATGGTAAGAACTCCAAAGCTTCTAGGGGCATAGAAAACGCCACCAAAGGATCATCCTCCTTCAGAACATTATTTATTTCGGCTTCTATGAAGTGCACATGAGCCAATTTATGCACAATGGGCCTACGGTTTATAGTCCCTATCCGAGAAGATTTGTTCCACCACCAGAACCATAGGCGAGCGTGTCGCGAACCAGCGCCGATATTATATGGCTGTAGGTTGCTGCGCCCCGTTATTAATACTATGTTTACCTGTGCAGGCATCATACCAGCTATTCATCAAGCCTTTTCCACCACGAGGTAGTCCACCAGCATTAGATTCCCAACAGTTCGTATACAGATCCCACATCAGGACACAATTCTTGTTTGCAATCTCGCACACTGAAACCAAATAATTTAATAATTGGATATTTCAATGCGCCCATCTTGATAAAGACTAAGTGTGTAGTGTTATAAACATAGGACGATTAAATTAACTCTGAACAAATCTTGGTAGAGTCGAATTTTTAAAAAAGGTCGCAGCTCGTTTTCGTAATGAAGAGCCAAAATAAGAAATGGTGCTATGGCGTAACGTCGTCTTAATATTCGGAAGTGGGCCTAAGCACGCAGTGATTTATTTAAAACGGAGATGACAAATAGAACAAACGTTAAATGATATGTTAAGTGATATTTTTGCCGGAGGCGGGTGGATAAGGAGGAGGTGAGTGGTAGGCCTAATCCAGGAGGGGATGTGATGTTCCCTTCATTGGTGTTGAGGGGCTATTCCCCCAGAGTCTCATTTTCACCCCTGGATCCGCCATCAAATAAATTAAGGAACAAATTTGTTGGCTCACGAGAGCAAAGAGGTTTCGTATTGTACATGTACATGAATAAAATCGTGGTGTGCTCATTTTGGAAACCACATAAAGACAGCAGAATGTCATTATAGCAAGAAACCATGATATGGTAGTCAACCAGTGGCGTATTTAGGAGTCCTAAAATAGATGGAGGGCTGATGGGGGCGCGACAAGTGATTTGGATGGGAGCGATTCCATAATTAAGTAAGGGGACACCAGCTTGCATATATGGTTATATTAGATAATTTTTATCTACCTGAGCGAGATTTTTTTACTTCAAACTTGTTTCAATGATGGGTGTGGGGTGGTGGGGGGAGGGGCACTGCGAGAGCGAGCTTTTTTGAGGCGCGCGCCACCGCGCAGCCACCCTTGATTCTGCATTGCATAGTCAACGACTACTGTAACACTACGCTCGCTGATACCGAGTTTATTGATGGGAGTCGTGGCGTTTGAAATTATCTTGAAGAAAAAAAAAGTAACAATGAACAGTATCGATTCGTATATTGTTAACAATAGGTCTATGTCAATCTGGCCCATCAAAGATATTATTGCAATATTACAAAGCGTATGGTATTTTATTGATTGTTTGTACATTGAAATTCAGAAACAGTCATCATTCATTATTTTGAGGTTAACAAAATAATTTATTTCATCAGTAATCCAAAATATTTATAAAAGTCTGTCTAGTTTAATAATGGTAGATCCAGAGGTGGCAAAGGGGCGCTCTCCACCCGGTAGTAATCACTAACTAAGTGTGAAGTCATCAGAATAAGAATACAACGGCAAGAGATCTGAAGCTTCCAGGGGCATAAAAAAATTCGTCCATAGGATCACCCCCACCCCCCTCAGAAGCTTGATTTATTTAGGCCCACAGTATAGGCCTACATGGACCAAGGGTTGTCAATAGCGAACAATATATCACTGTCCTACTTGTGGGTGACAATCGCTTTCACAAGACAAACATACAGGCCTACATACAGTGCTTTAAACAAACTACGCAATATGCAAGGCTTAAGATGTGGAGTTGGTTGGTCAGAATTTGAACCTATTACCCTGGGATTGGAAGGCAAGAATCTTAACCGCCAAGCTATTATAATCCTCTGTCGGTCCAATTGCGCCACCCCTCGGCAGGAAACTGTGCTATTACAGTGTTATTATATATATATATATATATATATATATATATATATATATATATATAGATATATATATATATATAGATATATATATATATAAAATCATCAAAGGACCTGTTCAACCATGAAGCCTTCGTGGTCTAGTGGTTATGACGCTCGTCTTGTCAGTGAGAGGTCGCAGGTTCGAATCCCGTCGGAGGCATTTTATTACACAATGATTTTTCATAGGACTTTATTCGTTGAAAAGCTACAGGGTAGCCTACGATTTTCCATCATGTCCTTATTAAAACACTGTATATGTACCTTTGATGATTTATATTATATAAATATGTGTATATATGTGTGTATGTGTATATATATGTATATTTATTTATGGGACATGTACTTGGGTAGGCTTAAGATATATTCATTTGCATGCAGTATATTTCTTTTGATTTCCTTTTACTTATTTTGTTAAAATTGTTCCATTGGAGTTTTGGTGCTTTTCTTAAGCATTATAAGTATTTAATAATACTCGATAATAAGTTTTAAGTATTTAGTTAAGTATTGATTGTTAATGTTAAGATTCTTCTCTTCTTTTTCTTCTGTGTATTTTTTAAGACCGCACCACTGATTGTGAGGTCCACTGATACAAAGGTGAAGTGTCACAAATAAATAAATAAATAAATATTACACAAGAAGGAAAGTTTAATTTGGAATGATGACTCAGCAAAATGATTAAAAGACAGTTACTCGGACTCACCTGCATTGACAAGATCCACGTGGAAGCCACGGAGAGTACCCGATATTTCGTCACTTATAAAAAAGAAAAACGATTATTATTATAGATAGGCCTAGTTTTTGAGATACACCTAAAATTGGAACGTTATATTTTATAAATCTCCCGTCTTGAAATAATTATCCAATCAACAACTCTCAATACGCTAATTAGTAACCCGACTTTGTATTTAGAAAATTGAATTAGACCTATAGGCCTACAATATTTTGAATATACTGCACTTGTGCAGATGTACTCTATAGGCCTACTGTGGCGGTCGAATTCCTCTGTAAAATGTAATGTGTTCAAATTATTCTGTAAATTGGAATTCGAGTTCGCGTTAACTACCGATCCAACATATAAGAGAGTTGGTAAATGGACCTACGTTTTCACAGATGACCATTGGCTGATAGCAATTTTCCGACAATGGACTAGTTAGATTAATTTTGACATAGTTTCTGCAATCAGGAGCCTATTTTTTGAGTATTTATCAAAATTCTGGTGTTTTAATACTGTAATCGAAATAACAGATTGGTATACAATGAAATGATTAAGCGCTTCCGCCGTTTTGGCTTACTTATACGGTATCTCGATTGCAATACTATGCCCAAAATATTAATACTTCCGGGGATCCTCAGTCCGGGTCAACCAATACAATTAAAAAAAATAATAACACTGAGACTGCTGAAATTGCTTGATTCGCTGCAATGTTTGATGTTTCAACGTGTTGCTGAATCTGGGGTTGGGTAAACCGGCTTTGCTACAGTGATTTGGTTCACTCTGGTTGTTCCTGGTCTCCCCAAATTTCAGCTTTTTTGTTGTTATTGTTGTAAATGACCAAATAAATAATGAAATGAAATGAAAAGAAAAATTCTGAACAAAATAAGAACAAATTAAGGCTGCGGTAATAAGCCTTCCTCAATGAGTTTTTTTTTTTTTTTTATCAACACTGAATCTGGGCAAAATTTCACTGATTCTTAATATAAAAAAGGCGTATTTCAAGTAGAGTGTATGCCTCGCTAATTTTTGAATACCGGGGTCTCTCCTTTTTTTTGATCACGATGTTAAAACAATCTTCCTATAGGTTTACTGCAATTATCTAATTGCCAATCCACCTTGACCTCTTTCGGACGCGTATTTTATTCTATAGTTGAACGCTTTTTGTAATTTTGATCTGTTATTAACCTTAAAACTTTTAGTGTAATTATGCACAAATCTCATTTTTGTAAAACAGCACGAGGTGATACCGTAGGCCCTATATTATTAAAACAAAAAAAGGCATATTTCAAGTAGGGCGTAGGCTTCGCTATTTTTTGAACCTGGATTTCTCTCTCTCTTTTTTTTTTATCACGATGATGTTAAAACATTCTTTCCTCCATGGATTTACAGGCTATGTTCTCACACGGCAGCTGATGGTTAGCAGGATTCGGATCCATGCTAACCGTTACCTGTTGTGCATCCATGAGAAAATCCCGATCCAGATACCAAGAATATGATGATCGAATCACTGTGGCCAATAAGAAACTGGAACTTATAAACGCGTACGTGCGATTGGTTGATGATAACAAACGCGTTCAACTTGCTAACCGATAGCGCTTGCTAACCGTTCGGGCGTTCTCACACAGCTGCTAACGCGGTTACCGCTAACGGTTAGCTCCCGATTTATTTATTTATTTATTTACCACATTTTTATAGCGCCCTTTCCATTAAGTAATCATGTTCAAAGGCGCTTCACATTATAACTACACTAAAACAAGATAAACAATCAATTAAAAAATAAATATAAAAATAGATAAGGACATATATTACTTAAATTACAATGGCCAATAAAACATTAAAATCAGTTAAAATTGAGAAGATATTATTAAGAAAAATAAGATAAGTTAAAATTGCTTATACTACACAATTAAGATAGGAAAAATACAATTCAATTCACATTAATATTAAAATTATTGGTTTTATTATTATTTAATTAAGTTACGTTATTGGTAATTTTTAAGTTAAAATTATTGGTTCTATTATTATTATTATTTAATTAAGTTACGTTATTGCACAATAATAATTGAATAAAAAATACATAACGTCAAAAAATGAATAGAATATTTTAACAATTGTTATTGGACTCCCGATCCGAATACTTGGGCTCTCGTGAGAACCAGGCAACAGTATGAAATAGGACTATTACCAAAACCGAGTGTTGTCCAACCAACGAGGTGCTATATAGTCTATGCATCTTCATGGATCAACTTACATGTACTCCAAGTTTGTTCCATCATGTCCAATAGCAAATGTCCATATCTTGTCCGACGATGAATCTGAAGAAGGACATATACATATCTGATTTAATTATTATATTCACAAGATTATAATAATGTTACTGTACCAACAGATTCAGACTATATTCTGCTTGTTTATGTAAAAAAAAATGAACAAAATTCGACACTGAAATACAAAGTCAAGAGAGAATAATGTGCTTGAGCAGCCCGACACCTAGCGAATCCTCTCTAACCTGCTAACCTGTAAAAAGGCCTATACTACTCTCGGGTCCATTGGCCTATCCAAGATGCTTAAAGGGATCAAAATTGTAGAAAGGGTCATCAGAAGGCGGCCAAGGAATCCAGAGGCAGCGCAGTTGCAAGTGGTCAGCACCAGGGGAGGCTCATGGGTTGAGCCCTGGTTGTGGGTGGGCCGCGAATCTCACCAAGTTTTGTTCTTCGGTATATAAGTGACAGTAATAGTTAGTTATCATAAATCTTCCCAGTCTGACACCCCCACCCCTCGGTGCTACTTAAAAAGCTGAAAAGTCTGCCGTATTTTATTAAATTAGACAATGCAAAAAATAAAGTGTGGCTTAATCTACAAATAGGCCTATGTTGCACACACATTATTTTAAATTTCAATAGAATCCCCCGTCAGGGAGAGAGCTGCCCCTCCACGTCGGGGAGAAAAACATGCTCCGTCGGGAAGAAGGATTGAATTGAATTGATTTATTTACATCTCCGAAAATAACAGCAAAATTCATTAAGAAATACATAAAATACAAGAAAATACATACACAAAAAAGGACGAAATTCAAGAGATGCCGGATAGCCCATAAAAGTTCCAATTGGAACTTATTTACAATGGGGTCTGCATGATTAAAGAAAACTTGAATTACAAGAACAGCAAAAAAAACAAAAAAAACAAAACAAAAAAAACAAAACAAACTACGAATCAAAACTTTAGAAATTATGTATCCTTTGCATTTTACTTGGAGCATACATGCAAACCCACTCTTCTACATCATTAATAGACTCAACATCGATCAAAATAAGCCCTTGAATTCCCTAAATTGTCGTATAGTTATATATCCTGGCGCCACCCCTGATGCTGGTTCGTAGTAGGAGGGTCCCCCTACTTAAAACAAAATATAAAGGAGTAAGAGGGACTTGAGTGCCTCTCTGGGGCCCATGGGCTGAGACTGAGCCCCAGGAAAGGAACCGGCGTTAAGCCACTGTTTAGGCTCAATAGTAAAGTGCTAAGTAGTAGTAGGAGGACACGGGGCCCTCTCTAGGCCTTTTTTTGAGTGTGTACTCAAGGGCTGCGCCCCTCGTGGGATCACGGGGGTTAAGTCACTGGTCCAGTGTAAGCAAGTATCATCATGTCTTTTTTATTAAACCAGACTATTTCCTTCTTTGGGATGAAATTGAAATAAAATGAAATAATAGTGTCATAGACCTTCAATAATGCATTTTGATTCCACGTGTCGTCTCTATCCTTCCCATGTCCTATATGCTTCCGCTATATTGCTTTCAAAAACTCGTTGGTCCAACGAGATTCATTCTTATCTATCCTGCCATACGTTCGACCTTCCTTTATTACAAATTGATGCAAAATGTAGGCCTACTGCTTAAAGAGGGTCGGCCTTGGTGTTAGGTAATAATAGATGAAATAAGTGACTTCTTTTTTGTCTATGTAATGTCAGGGAGTTGTGGTAATGTCTACAAATACAAACCATTGCTTTTAATTAGATTTTTCTTTTAAGGCAAACCGTACATCGATTTTATCGATTGCCATTGGTTTTCATGTGTCAGATGCACTCATTTTAATAAAAATTTGGTTCAATTTTATTTATAAATGCTAATGTATTATATACATTGTAAGCATATAATAAGTTGGCGGGATAAATTCCTGCCACGGCTAGAATTTACGTAGTGCTAGGCAATGTTGGTTCAACTGAAATCCGGAAATATACGCACACCTTTACAATGTAGGTCCTTGTGTAGAACAGGAATCCAGGGATAATATCCGATCGCACAATGTACTTTCAAACACATGTAAGAATTTGGTTGAGAGGATAGTCTACTGTCTGTACTCTACAAAATACAAAAGCGGGCTACAAATAGGCCTACTAAAGTGAGTTGGAACCAAGGTCTTCGATTAATTGTGTGATATTTTCACGAGGCCTTGAGATTGGTATTGATACCGTAAATCTTTATGTATTGACGTAGGCCCTATACTATACATTACTAATCATAGCCTTTCAGTGATTTTATTTATATTGGCAACCGAACATGTTTCCAAATCTCGGCTATCAGAGAGTAGGCCAATAGTATTGAAAAATTGATTACCAACCCCTGTAAATTTGAAGAACTTCGGTTCACCTATATACGCATCAGTGACTGTGTTGTTAAACTTTGAGGAAATACTCACATGTTAAAAATTGAAACAGTTCGAAACAATTCCGTTCATGAAAGGAAATTCACCCGTGATTCAACTGGATTTAGGCCTATATATTGAACCTAAGCCCCAAGCTCCAGGGGTCCCAAATCCATAAGAGCCCCTCACCTCCTTATCAAAAAAATCCAATAAAGCAATGTTTTATTGTGGCATTTAACTATTGCTTCCTTCCACCTTCTACACACCTTGCATATGATTATCTAGAACGATCGTTCGTTACCTTAATTGGTAACATTTTGGCTTAACTAATTAATATTCATTCAATTCTTTGTATATATAATCTTAGTTAAGAATGGCGAGTTTTTTGTTTATTGATTTTCTGTTTGTACTGATGATGGGTTGGAGAGAACACCCGAAACATGTTTACAATTAAATTCTTAGTTCTTTTCTTAAAATGTGTTGTGTTTTTCATGAATTTGCGTCCGTTTGGTCATATCATCAAGGACTTTAGTTCAGAAGACCTGCATATTTGTTTGCCTAGGATGTATGAGAAGTTATCCCTACGTTTCAATAAAGCTGAATTGGATTTTCATTTCTTACGCTATATATATATATATATATATATATATATATATATATATATATATATATATATATATATATATATATATTTGTGCTTACAGGAAGGGGGGGGGGGTGAAAGTGGGGCCGATCGAGATAATAATCCCTAGGGGGCCCACAAATAACCTCTGAGGCATTTTTGGCGATCAATTTTTCCTTTTTCTTTCTTTCTTTTTTTTCCCCTTTATTTTACCATCCAAAAAGCCCCTTGCAATAGTACGCTGTGAGACATTATCCAACATTTTATAGAAAAAGTGTAAGTCATAATAATATCTAATAGATATTTTCTTAATATTTTGGCGGTTCAAATTCCCGCTGTTTTTTTTTCATATTCTACTGGCTATTTTTAATGCAGTTGACTTACCATCGGATCCTGAGTTAGAAAATTTTTCCGGTACGTTAATATTGGTTGTACCCTTGTTGCTTAGGCTGACGGCAGATAAAACTAAGGCTAGTAGACTTATAATACAACTGGTAACTATCACGACTAATATTAGGCCTGAGCGGCCGCCGGCTCCCTGGTTCTTGGACGTTGGTAAAATCTCAGCTGTCAAGTCTCCGTCCATCCTCAATTCGCGATTCCAATCAAGTGCTCGCTACAAAACAAATGCCCCAGCAAATGTGCAAGTCGCCGACTTCCGGGTTAGGTCTATCGTTAAAGCATATACTCTATATTGTCTTAATCTTTTCTAACAATAAGCCTACTCACATTCGGCCGATGTATCTTTAATCGACGACGCCTTGCTTTGATGAACAGGGCCAGAACCTAAGCATCATTATCCGACCGTATCGTAAAAGTGAGTCCCGACTCGACTTATCTGTGGAAACTTATCATCACCAATATTATAGTCAAAATGAATTTTCATGATCTTTCATCAGCTATTTTCGGCAACCACAGAGATCTAATGTGTGATGTACGGTACCATAGAATTACAACTTAAAAACATGTCTTTGACGTATTTAATTTACTTACTTCGAAACTGTGAGTCCATACGCATTTCAATTTAGAGAATATGGAGCTCTAGGTGCCAGGAAATTGCACTCTGATACCTTAAAAATCTTAAGAATAATTCACAGGGGCGGATTTAGAGAGGTGGGGGGGATTTAGGGGGGGGGGGGGGGGGGCGCCTGCGACGCGCGTCCCCTCTTTTATCACAATTTTCTTTTGGAGATAATTGAATGGATACCGGTACACAATTCCATAGAAAGGTTGATTCTATGTCACATCGCGCAATGCATAGCTACAAACAAAGTTTAAGCGCAGATGCACCAGCATGGACACTTTCGTGCAATCTATCACTCTCCATCGAGGTCAGCAGGTATGTGCTGTCAGACAACCCCATGCACAATGACCACAGTACACTGATATGTGTGCACATCTCCATTGACGACACCCCTTCAGTAGACTTAATCTTAAAAAGTACAGTTTTTGTGTAGACAACATTTGACACTTTCGACGTGTAAGTTTTACTTCCTTATTGTTTTCAAGTACAGTACCTGGTTTAATCATCATTGTGTAATTTACATGATATACTGTATGAAATTGTATAATGCTGTTGCCTCTAATTGAAATGGAACAAAGTAGGCTTACCTAAACATAGGGCCTAGGTCTATTTCCAGTGGCGGATTTTGGTGTGGGGGCGTATGGGGCGTACGCTCTCCCTCTATTTTTTTGCAAAAAAAAAAAAAATAAATAAATAAAATTACACCCACAGTGTTGAAGTCTTCTTTTCCTACAAAAACACCCTAGGAGAATGCTATTCATAAATCCACTTGGTGAGAAATAGAAAACTTGTAATTTACTCAATGTTATTACACAGTTGCGGATTTTGTTGTTTGACAACTTTTTTTTAAACGGATTTTGGATAGTTGTTTTCCTTTTTCTCGATGTTGCTGAGAAACTTCATCATATTTTCTAGAAGTGAAATTTCTCTTTGAAATGGTGTACATTTATGAGCCTTTGAATGTTGTCAAACTAAGTTTGAGATGTTCATGGAAGAGGTACTAAAACCCACAGCTGTGAGTAGACGAATTATTATTAATTTAATGACACATTTCATAGTTGTATATTGCAGGTACTCTGTATATTAAAATTTCTTTTAAAAGACATACACTTTTTTTTAAATTCATTTCTTACTGAAAACTACCATGCTAGATAGTTAAAATCGACTCAATACAACCTCATATTCCTCAAATGTGCTGTGCTTCAAAGGGGGGGGGGTCGCCCCCTTGGACCCCCACCAGGGGCTTTGCCCTTGCACTCCGCCGTGGGCCCTAGGCGGCCCCTGGCCCCAGGTCTAAGGCTGCTCGCTTCGCTCGCAGATTGCGCCCACCACCCCCCTTTTCTGGCAGACATATCAACAATATAATACAACACTTACTTTTCTTAATAGAATTTAGGGCGATGCGACCCTCTGCACCCCTGCATCCGCCCCAGAACTTGACCCCAAGATGGGGACACGGGGCAAAAGCCTGTATTCTGAGATTGTTTCAACAGATAGGTATTTAAGGCTGTAACGCGCAAAAATATTACTATCATAATAATAGGCATACGAACAAATATCGAAGGCTTGAAATGTATTGACCGAAAGGTCCACTGATTAATCTCAGATAAGAAAGTATAATACATACTCCAAGTGTTGAAATACACGCCATCGTGTTGGGACTCAATATTTCGACATTAATTATGTCATCATCAGGAATGAAAAAATTATCTATATTAGCAAACTTATATGTACTAGTACCAAAAGTGTTTAACCAATCAAAACATTACCT